ACATTGTGGTGACTCCATATTCAGCTGGAGTTCACTCTTTCCTCCAAAAAACCACCATGTTTATTGATTTTTTTTCCCTTCATTTCATGGCAGGCAAGTGAAAGAATGCATAGAACATGGCACCAGGACAAAAAGAACATCAAGCACTGGGTTTGGAAAGATACCGTACCATCAGGAGGCAAGTGGGTGGTGAACAGAGTGAATAGCCAGTGTTTTGGTGTTTTGCCTTGTCTTGGAAAGAATCAAAGTCCTTAAAACTGTGAAAAGTCATATATAAAGGAATGCTGAATAAAAGCACTTAGGACAAAGACTAAGGACTCTGAAGATGATAAGGTCCAAAAGCAAGCAAAAGCAGTAATAGTCCAGTGAACACCAAAGGGAGGCTAACAATACAAGCTAAGAAGAGAATCAGGAGGTTCCAGAAAAAGAAAAACCCAACATCTACACCAGGCCACTGTCTTTTCTCAACCCAGCTTTATAGATTTTCTCAGCCATGCTTTTTACTTTTCTTATAAAGACCTAAGCTAAAGTTCCCCTGGACATACTGGTATAGATTCTTATGGTCTGTGTGGAACTGCTTTGATTCTTGAAATAAAGATTCCGGTGTTCTTCATGGAGAAATGCAGTTGGGACAAATCTGTTGTATCCTTCACTTCTCTTTCAATGGCTGAAACTATAAATGTATTTTTTTTTCCCAAATCATGAAATAAAAAAAGATTCTGGTGTTCTTGTATCAGAAGATAGAAAAATTATCAGGTTAGACATCTTTCTAGGGCTGTTACAATTCATATGTTTACTAAGCACTTTTATCAGCTAGTTCTATGCTAGCCGCCTGTAAAGGTGATTAAAGAGGCACAAACAAGGAAGGGAAGACAGCTCCATCTGTCCATTAAAGATGCTGGCAGCCCTGAGAGAGAGGTCCAGGCATGGGCCAATCTGTCACATCCCAGCTGTGCATGTTCTACGGCACTTTAAAAAAATTTATTGGTGCATACTAATTATGCATAAAAGTGACATTCTTTGTGACATATTCATCCTTTCAGATAAAATAATTTGATCAACTTCCCAAGCACCTCCCCTTTCCCTCCCTTTTTCCACAACCCTGATCCTTTCCTCTACTTCACCATTCTCCCTTCTGTTTTCATGAGGTGTCTTTTTTATTTTTTTTTTCTCTCTGGCTTCCACATATGAGATAAAACATTTGTCCCTGACTTCCTGAGTCTAACTTATTTCATCTAATATAATGCTCTCTAGTTTCATCTATTTTCCTGCAAATGACATAATTTTCTTCTTCTTTATGGCTGAGTAAAACTTCATTGTGTATACAGACCACGTTTTCTTTATCCACTCATCTGTTAGTGGACGTCTGGACTGGCTCCATAACTTGGCTATTGTGAGTTTCACTGCTGTAAACATGGGTATGCAAGCATCTCTATCATATGCTGACTTTAATTTGAGGCGGGCGGTAAATACCAGGGAACCGGATCACCATTCCTAGTCTTTTGAAGAATGTCCTGACTGACTTCCATAATGGTTATATTCATTTTCATTCCTATCAACATTATATAAGAGTTCTATTTCCCCCATACCTTACCAGCATTAATTGTTTCTTGTATTTTCTAATTGCTGCGTTATAATTACACATAATAGTGGAATTCATTGTGCCATATCTGTATATGCACATAACATACTTTCATCAGTCTTATTCTCCAATACCTCCTTGTTCACTCCCCTCCCCATCCTTCTGATCCTCTTGCTCTACTCCACTGGAGTCCCTTCTATTATTATTAATTAATCACTCTTTATTTCATAGTGCATTATATTTGTACTTAATAATGGAATCCATTCTGGCATTTTCATTCTGGACATAGCATAATTTGGTTGATTTCATTCCTCAGGATTTCCCCATGCTTTCTTCTCTTCCTTCCTTCTTGATCCCCTTTCTCTACTTTATTGTTCTCCCTTCTATTTTATTTATTTATTATTTATTTATTTATTTTTGCATTAAAATTCTTAATATACCACTCCCTTCTATTTTAATGAGATTTTATTTCTTGGTTTTTTTTTCTCTCCAGTTTCCACATATGAGAGAAAATATTTGATCCTTGGCTTTTTGAGTCAACCTTATTTCACTTGATGTAATGCTCTCCAGTTTTATTCACTTTACTGAAAGTGACATTATTTCATTCTTCTCTGGGACTGAGTAAAACTCCATTGTGTATATTTTCTTAATCTATTCATCTGTGCATGGACACCTAGGTTGCTTCCATAACTTGGTTATTGCCAATTGCATTGCTGTTAATCAATGTGTGCATATATCACTATATTATTTAGTTCTTTGGGGTAAATATCAAGGAGTGAGAAACCTGGGTTACATGGTGGCTCCATTCCTAGTCTTTTGAGGAACCTCTGTGATGATTTCCATAGTGGTTTTACTAATTTGCTGTTCTACCAACACCGTAAAAGGGTATTTTCCCCCCTGCATCCTTACCAGAATTTCTTGGTATTGATAATCGCCATTCTAACTGGAGTGAGACAGATCTTGATATAATTTTGATTGGTATATCCCTGATTGCTGAAGATGTTGAAGATTTTTTCATATATTTGTTGGTCATTCATACTTCTTCTTTTGAGAAATTTGTGTTTAGTTCATTTTCCCATTTATTGGTTGTTATTTATTGCAGTTCTTGCATGTTTTTAGTTCAGTATATATTCTGCATATTAACCTTCTGTCAGAAGAGTGTATGGTAAAGATTTTCGCCCATTCTGTGGGCTCTTCCTTCACGCTATTGTTTCCTTTACTGTGTAGAAACTTTAAAATTTGATGCCATCCTACTCGTTAATTTTTGGTACTGTTCCTGAGTTTTCGGGATCCTTCGCAGGAAGTCATTGCCTACACCTGCACGATGCAGGGCTGCCCCGTGTTTTCTTCTAACAGTTGCAGTTCTAGTCTAACTCCTAGGTCTGCGATCCAATTTGGATTGACTTTTATGTAGAGGGACAGACAGGGATCTAGTTTCACTCTTCTACATAAGTACATCCACATTTCCCAGCAACATTTGTTAGAAAGGCTGTCTTTTCTCCAATGTATGTTTTTGGCACCTTTGTCAAGAACCAGATGACTGTATCTGTGTGGGTTTGTCTCTGTGTCTTCTATTCTGTATCACTGGTCTATGTGTCTGTTTTTAGGCCAGTACCATGCAGTTTTTGTTGCTATGGATTTGTGGTGTGATTGAAATGAGGTAACGTGATACCTCCAGCATTGATTGCTCTTTTAGCTCAGAATTGCTTTGGCTTCTCAGGATCTCTTATTCTTCCACATGAATTTTAGGATTGCTTTTATACTTCTGTGAAGAATGTTGGTATTTCGATGGAGATTGCATTAAATCTGTAGATCACTTTTGGTAATATGGCCATTTTAACAATATTGATCCTGCCTATCCAAGAACATGGGAGGGCTCTCCATCTTCTGGTGTCTTCTATTTTTTTTTTTTTCAGTGCTTTGCTGTTTTCATTGTACAGCTCTTTTACCTCTGGTTAGATTTATCCCTTGGGTTTTTAAATATTTTGTTTTATTGTTCGTTTTTGAGGCTAAGTGGAATTGTCTTCCGATTTTTTTTCTCTCAAACAATTCAACTGGTGCATAGAAAGCTACTGATTTTTATATGTTAATTGTGTATCTTGATAACGTTACTGAATTTGTTTCTCAGCTCTAGAAGTCTTCTGGTGGAGCTTTGGGGATTTTCTAAGTATAGATAGGTTTCCCTATTTGTATCCTTTTTATTTTCTTATTTTATCTAATTGCTCTGGCTAAAACTTCAAGTACTATATTGAATAGGAGTGGTAAAAGCAGATACCTCTGTCTTGTTCCTGATTTCAGAGAAAATATTTTCGGTTTTCCCCGTTCAGTATGATATTGGCTTTGAGTTTGTCATATATAAACTTTATGATGGTGATTTTTTTCAGGACTTTTATAACGAATGGGTGCTGAATTTTGTTGAACACTTTCTGAATCTATTGAAATGATCATGTGATTTTTGTCGTTGGCTCGTTTTATGTGATTGAGTTGAATATGTTGAGTTACTATTGAATCCTGAAAAGGAGACCAACTTGATCACTGTGTACAGGTTTGTAATGTGTTTCTGAATTCTGTGTTCTCATATTTTATTAAGGATTTTTGCATCTATGTACATCAGTGATATTGGTCTGTAATTTTCTTTCCTTCATGTGTCTTTATCTGGTTTGGGTATCAGGGTGATACTGGCTTCATAGAATGAGTTTGGAGGTATTTCCTCCCTTTCTGTTTCATGAAATAATTTGAGAAGCATTGGCATTAGTTCTTTTTAAAAGTCTGGTAGAATTCAGCCATGGATCCTAGAGTTTTCTTTGTTGGACAGTTTTTTTTTTTTTTTATTTCTGCCTCAATCCCATTGCTTGATATTGGTCTTCTTAGGTTTTCTATATCCTCTTGGTTCAATTTTGGTAGGTTGTATGTGCCTAGAAATCTGTCAATTTTTTCTAGATTTCCCATTTATTGGAATATAAGTTTTAAAAACAATCCCTAATGAAATCTTGATTTCAGCAATGTTTGTTGGGACATCTTTTTTACCTCTAATTTTATTAATTCGGGTCTTCTCTCTTTCTTTTGATTAGTTTGGCTAAGAATTTACCAATAATATTTATCTTTTCAAAGAACCAACTCTTTATTTCATTGATTCTTTGTATTTTTTATTCACTATTTTACTAATTTTTGTTCTGATCATCATTATTTGATTCTTTCTGTTGGTTTTAGAATTGGTTTGTTGTTTTTCTAAGGCCTTGAAATGACCATTAAGTTATTTATTTGGAAATTTTTCTGAATTTTTAAGTAGCACTCAAGCTATGAACTTTCCTCTTAGAATTGTCTTTGTAGTATCCAGAGGTTCTAGTACGTTATATTTCTATTTTCATTTGATTCTAAGAATTTTAAAATTTCTCACCTGATTTATTCAATGACTCACCTGTGACACTTTTAACAGGACCTAAGGTACCACAGGATACACCTTTCCCATACGAAGGGAGTTCCTTGACCTGAGGCAGCTAGATTTAGACACTTCTACAGAAAAAAAAAAAGAGAGAGAGAGAGATTCTATGAAGCCAGTATCACCCTGATACCCAAACCAGATAAAGACACATTAAGGAAAGAAAATTACAGACCAATATCACTGATGTACTATGGCCTACCTGTTTCCTCTTGTACACATGCTGGTTCTTTTAAAAAAGGAACCTCAAGTTCCCTGGCAGGAAGTGATCCTAATGGCTTTGCAAACGCTCCTAGGAAAAATTTGAGTCATGAATGAATGCATACAAATATAGTCATAAATCTGAAGCCCATGTGAAATGTGGCTGATCCCAAGCCTTCCCATAAGGCTCAACTTCCACATTAAGGTTAAACATGGAATTTGCAACTCCAGTTATATCATCTGATTTTGATCAAGGGCAGAGGATATTCTCTCAGCCTTCAAAGAATGTGATATTATTCCCCAGATAGCACACAAACACTCCATGATTTGTGGAGTCCCAATGGAGCTGTGTTTTGCCTCTGGTGAAAATGAATTTCCATGGAAAATGTGACACAAACACTACTTCTTGGGTCTCAACTGAATCAGATTGTACATCGGAATTTTCTGGTTAAAATTTTACTTTGGGGAAGTGAATCTCAAAGACCTGATGAGGACCCTGATGGTTTTCTAGGACTTTCCTGAGGCCCCAATGACCTGTTCTGTTTATTCAAGTTGTTAAAAGGGAGTCAGTCATGTAAATCAGGGAAAGAATGTGAATTCAGATCTGGGTTTGAATTCGTAACCTGCTACTTCCTTACTCTGTGATATTAGACAAATCATTTTTTCTGGGGACCTAACTTACAGGGTTGATGTGAGATCCTATGTTCTGTATAAGTACCGAATGCTAACCGATTGCGCCACTGGAGCATCCAAGAGATCCTATATTCTGTACATAAGATAATAAAAGGATTATGTGAAAGATAATAGACAAGAATAGGGATCTTAATCCAGTTTCAAACTTCACTAATAATTTCAACAAAATGAGCAATCTCAAGGCTGGGGTGAAGCAGGAGTAATATAGCTCCCAAAGTCCTATCAAGCCTCACCAAGATATCCTCTTGCCCAGATGAACACAGGTCTTCAAGCCACGTATGTGGTCACATTACCTCACGGAAAAGAGCCATCATGAAATATCTTCATATCATGCTCAGATAGAGAACTTAATCATAGAACCCATCTCAGTATACCAATAGATTCTAGATTTGTTATAAATGAGCAAGCTAGGCCAACCAGGTACTTCTTTCTAAGAGAATTCCATAGATAAGAACCCTGGGCTAACAAATATCATTAGTGCGTTTACCTGGAAGTCTGCATGGTCACATGAAGACTGGTTTGTGTTCTTTCTCATGGATTCTCCCTTAATATGGAGAGAAAATGTATTATAGATATAGGGTATTGACAACATTTGAGCAGCCATCTTAAATGTTAACCACCATCTTATGAGATAAGTTTCACTTTCCTGTACTTCCTCTTACCTGAATTTCCCCCACCCCCATTAGTGACCTACCCCATGGTACCATAACCCTAAGTCAATCCCAGAAGGACACGACCCCTTTGCTCTGGAAAGCCCCATGGCACCATCACCTAAGCCAATCCCATGCTATTCCCACCCGCCTAGCTCTGATGCATGCACTCCCAAGCCTATCCCATAGCAACACAGCTACACCGCCAAGCCCCTGCCCCACAAAAGCTGAACCCCTGAACATCTCGGGGCCTCTCTCCACTCTACAGAGGGATGGCCTTTATTTGTCAGCTTTGATCTCGTCTGGTCTCCATCCTTTATTTCTAGCTCACCGGTCTCTCGCTTTCTCACTTTCCTTTCAATAGACCTGTTGCTAAACATTTCCTCCTCCAAACTTAACCCAGACTAAGAGTTAACATGTATAGATTTTAGCACATTATTGAGAATAGTCATGAGAAAAGGATTCTGTTTACATTTTCATTTCTGCTTGACTTCCCAGATCTTGTAAATCTAGCCTGCCTGTCTCCTGACACCATCCATCTAGGGCTCAGTTTCCCAACGGTGTGTGACTCTTATTTCTACCTTTTCTTCTTTTGGTCTTGCATTCAAATACTACTAATCCAACCTGGCCCTGCTTAGCTTTGGAGACCAGATGAGATCAGGCAAGTTCAGGGTGGTAAGCCAACAGACTATTCTCTCATTCTATTCCATTGCTCTACCCATCTCTGAGGGCCGACAAAGTGTCACTTTCTCTTGGAAAACTTCCAAGCCTACATAGGTCCTCACTGATTTCACCGCTTTCTACCCTTTATGATCCATAGTCTAACACCGAACACAGAGTGTCTTCTGAAGCAGTTTCTTACTTTTACATGCATGACACTCTTGTTCTCTAAAAGGATTGTAAGCTCCCTTAGAACTCAGAACTCCAGCTAACTTCATTGGACTCGTTCACATCTGGAAGCATCCCTTGATCCACTCCCCCAACAGATGTGGTCCCCCGATGCTGGACCCCTTAGCTTCTCACTTACCATACTGTGATGAGATCATAACGCCTGCTTTAATTATTGTCTTTCTTCCTGGGCAGCAAACTCTGCAAAAACAGGGTCGTGTCTCTCTTGCTCACTCTTACTGCCTGACTCAGCACCTGACAAATAGAGATAATTAATAAATATTTGTTAAAGAAATAGGTTTTCTGGTGGTAAAAGGAGGTGGAGCAAGGAAACTCATTAATTTATATGATGAACACATGGAGAATCTGCTCTGGGTACTCAGAATGCAAAGATGAATAAGTCATGATTTCTGTCATCTGGTCTCTGGTCTGAAAATGTTTGAGGAAATTTCTTTTGCATTAGCAGTTGAGCCTCCAGATATGTACAAACAGTTGTGTGGAAGAAATCAAAACCAAATCCTATTAATTAATACCAGTGATTTACTGGCAGAAAAAGAAAACAATGAGGGGGATGCAGTCCTGGAAGGGTGTGGGTCCTCTCAGGAAGACTTCCTCCCTGGTGCCCCTTCTTTCTCCCCAGATGGCCACCAGACAGGATTTACCACTGTCTCCAATTCACGTAAAAACAAATCCTTAAGTTTGAGTTTAAACTTAGTAGCTAGTATATCCTTCTCTTGCCCCTCGTCTCTCTTTCCTTACCCTACATTTGTGTAGATATAGGCTGGGACATGTCTCTGGAAACTTTTTTTTAATGATGCCATTGAAATAACCTTCCAACCTATTGGTCACAGATTTTGGCCACCAGCCAACAAATTCAAAGGTAGGCGCTAATAACTATAATGTTCAATTAAGATAATAACATATTTAATTTTATTCGTCTTAATTTCACCCCTGTAACAAAAACCATCTTGATTGTCATTGTTTTCCCTAAGTCAATAAATTTCTCATGGGTTTTCTACAAGTTGACTCCATTCCCCAGTTTTCCAAGAAATAAGGGAAATAAGGGATATGGTGTCATTAGCCAGATCTTATGGACACCAGAACGAAGCTCTGGTTGACCAGTCTCTCAACTCCTCGTTGGAGAAGGAGCTGAGATTATGGGATGGGGTTATGGATGGATTGGCTGATGATATTTTCTCAAGCCAGATGAGTAACTCCCTCCTACCTCCTTCCCTCCCTTTCTCCCTCACTTCCTGTCTTTGCTTTGTCCCTCCCATATTTTCCTTATTCGTTGTGTGCCAAATAATTGTTTCATCGACACCAGCATCACCAGCTGCCTTCAGCCATGCATCAAAAAGACTGATTCTGTCAGAACAACCTGCTGGCTGCTTCTTTATTCCCAATTAAATTGTTCCTCCCACAAACGCTCCTCTCTCTTTCTTCCCTCCTGGGAGGTAACCTCCAAGGCCACTGCTGTTCTCTTCAAAGCCTTTCTCCATGCCTCGCCCTCCTTGGTGGCCATATGTTAGTTACTATCCCTCTGCCCTCCCACTAAACTGGAGCTCTTTGAAGGCAGGATCTGCATCTCATTTGCTGCAGCACTCCCAGGGCCTTCGAAGGTGGATGTTGAGTGGGTGTTTGAATTTAATGAACACATCGAAACAATGTTGAGTCTATGAGCAAACACTTAGTGTCAGGGAGGTACAAAAAGAAGCAGGTTCACTGAGTCAGCGTTGGGCCATCCATCTGTGATGGAGGTACTAATGGCAAGTGCTCCTCTGGGCTGCAACATCCGACCCTGTGAAGTCAGGGTCACGGAGATTCAGTAAGAGGAAAGGACAAAAGAAATTTCAACAGAACCTATGGAGTCTCTGGAAACCACTGGACAGCCTTAATTTAAAGAAAAACTTGGGGCGAATAAAGCAAAAGAACACCTTCAACTGGTTTCAATGAAGCCAATGTAACCCCTCCCTACGTAGCAGAAGTCAGCCCATTTTTCCCTCTTTTTGCACCATTTAAAGCTCTGACCAATGATCCCAGATGGTTCTAGTCTCTCAAATGGATTTTAGTGCCATCTTTAAAGCATTCATTAGGATTGAACATGAAGGCAAAGAGAATCACGATTACTTGAGAAGCTTCAGCTACTTCCTCCCTCATCCTGTCTCAGGAGATCTGTAGCCCAGAAATCCACTTGGAGACCTTGCTTATGGGGTGTCCTGAGGAATGTAGACACTGTGAAACCAGAACCTCAGAGTGTCTTGTGCACAGCCTCTCCCTGATGTGCCCACGAGTCAGGAGTAGCTGGACCTCTAAAAGTGACAGATCAACCGTTGATCAAGGCTGACACGGATTGAAGTAAAATCTGCCTTGTAGTGTAAATTCAACCCTGCAATTCCTAAAGCCACTCAGCCTGGCCTGCTTCCTGACTGTACAGTCTAAACTAGACAGGGTGGAACGAATCCAATTATTTTATTTTATTAGTGGCTCTCTGTGCACAGTCCTAGCCTCAGGCACCTGGCCCTCTAAGACAGCCCATTAACTCATCCTTGGATGCAGACATTTGACCAATGGATAAGCAGTTGGCACAAGCGCATTAAGTCCCTCCGAGGAAGGGTGCAGTCATATTATTTGACACAAATCATCATGACTTAAACACAGAAACAGGATAGAAAAAGTTTAGTGGCTGTGGTTTGCTTTCTCTCTGATGCCCTCAATTTCTCATCAGAGGCTTCAAGTGGATTTGCAGCTATTTGGCCTTGGAGTTTCCAGAATTCTGTCCTAGAAAGATAAGTGTTTTTTAAGAAGGAATACAAACTGCTATCCTTAATGAATCTCTTACCTTGTGCCAGGAGATGTACCAAAGCCTTTTCCACAAGTCACCTGGGTATTAGTCTGCCGGGGCTGCCATAACAAAATACTACAGAATGGTGGCTTAAACAATCAGAGTGTGTTTTCTTACAGTTTTGGACACTAGAAGTCCCAGATCAAGGTGTAGGTAAACTCAGTTTCTGGTGAGGCCTCTTCCTGGCTGACAGAGACCTGATTTCTTGCTGTGTCCTCACATGGCCTTTCTTCCATGCACACCATGGGGGCAGGGGGGACGAGTGTCATGTCTGCTTTCTTCCAAGGATACCAGTCCTGTTGAGTGAAGGCTTCCCCTTCTCCCTCTCGATCCTAACTCCAAATACAGTCACATGGCAGGACAGAGCAACAGCATAAGGGGATACATTCAGCTCGTGATATCCTCATCGAGGCTTCATGACCAGCTGGCTGAGTCAAGGGCATCCTCTCTATTTGATCTGTGGATAAACAGAGTCGAGTACCTTGCTGAAAGTCTCACTACCAATAGGTAAGCTGTGGGTGTGGCTTCTTTCCATAGAAGAGAAGTGGAGAGATGGAGGATTCTTTTAAATAAATGTGGGGCTGCTCCCAGCGAGGTCAGAAGGGAACTGGCAGGTGGAAACTAGAGTGGGGCACCGAGCCCTCGGCTGTTCAGTTCGGTTAAACGTGTCACAAAATCGTGTGACGGGTGTGTCCCAGGGCTGGGTTCCGGGAGAAGAAGGCAAGAAGATGTGGGCCTGTCATCCAGGAGCTAGCCATCTCAGCCACAGGGAAGGACGGCTTCTTTTCCAGAGAGAGAAAACTGCCAAAGAGGAAAATATCCCCTTGGTTCCCTTCCTTCTCTGGGAGACACTTTTGGGTCTCTGTTTGATGTCTCTGTCCTCAGAGGCCACCTCCAATCTAACAGTGACAGCATACCCAGGGTCTTCATCAAGGTGACCCTTCTTTCCTTGTCCCCCATCCCACTATCCAGAATTGTCCTGATCTGCTTCCATCAGAATATCTTGGGTCCAAGTCCTATTCCCCCAAGGCAGATTTCTCAGCTAGGAAAGGAAAGGTTCACTGGTTGCTTCTCCTGGGTAATATATTGATATTTCATTAGTAGTCTCAGGAGACTGGTGACTTGTGGCACAAGTTTTAGGTGCCACAAAGGGCAAAGTGGTGGGAACTTCCTGACGGCAGGTGGGTTTATCAACAAACCCACAGTGAGTGAGACGGCACCAATCCCGGGCTTTTCACAGATAAGGCTGTTCCTGCTTGGACCCAGAGCTGGGCCCAAGGGTGTGTCCCGGCCCTGTCAGTGCTTCACTCTTCGCCCTTAGACTGGACCTTCCAAAATGTGAAAGACCCTGTGCTTCTGGTCACCTGCTCCTCTAGGAGCAGCCATCAACCAGCCTCTCTGCAGAGGTAGGGCATCAATCCTCTGCTCCCTCGTCCCTTGCACAGGATGTTCCCAAGCACGTGGTGCTCCATGACTCCAAGTTTCCCCGTCTCAGTCACTCACAACTGAAGCTGGCATAATGACACACCGTGATCGGCTGTCTCCCTTCCCCTCTGTCACTCTCTCACTGCCGAATAGTGTTTCCTGTACTTTACAAATCAGCTACTTGCATCCAGATCCTTTTCTCTAGGTCATCTTCTAGAGTATTCAAACTAACACACAGTGACAGTTAGAAAAGGGGACGGAGCAGGGCAGCTGGATGGGGACCAGCCAGGCTTTCTCATCAGCCGTGCCTGGTGGGCAGCTCCCTGTGGGCAGCCTCACCAGCACCACCCTTCCCTCCTCCGCCAGGCCTCTGAGAGGGGGGAGCCCACCCAGAGCTGGTCAACCTGTGGGGACATCAGGAATGCACAGCCCCAGCTCACCGTGACTCTAACCTCTCTGGGTGGAATCTTTCCTGGAGTTGACTCTTCTAGGGCACAGTGTCCCTGGGAACTCACCTGTTTCCAAGGCTGTACGGGATTTGAGGTCAGCAATGCCCCATTTGGATTTTTTTGAGCTAAGTAACTACTTTATTTCTCTGGGCCTTATTTTCCTCATATGTAAAAAGGGGGTAATATTAGCTGCTATAAAATACAGTTGCAAAAGTGATAATAATAACTAATGAGATTCTCAGAGGATCACATATAGTCGATGGAGCTCAGCAGCCCTGTGGGGGTGTATCCCAAGGCCTGGGTTCAAATCTCTAGAAACCAGATGAGTCTTGGAGTTCAGCATCTGGGTTTAGTGAAGGCAACAGAGTGCATATAATATATATATTACAGAACTACCTTCAAGGTCTTGGGCAATCCCATAAATTCAAACATAAATTTTCTTTACCAAAAAAATAGTGTGTATGTATATGTATGTATGTATGTATGTGTATGTATGTATGTATGTATATGTGTATATATATATATATATATATATATATATCACTATATAGGTGAAGGCTGCAGAAAGTTTCAATTTGGAGTTGCAGATAAAGGACTGTGGCTCAGAGAAGTTGAGCAATTGCTCAAGGTCACACACAGGGATTTGAACCCTGGACGCTGGCTAGAACCCCCGTTCTAACCACTACCTCCAGCAGACCATCCCTCTCACCTGGATGAGTGATGCCCCTGAAGGACTTGAACCTGATCCATAGAGTAAGTGAGAGCTGCTTCTTGTTCATACACAGATCACTCCTTCCAGAAATAAAATTAAAAATGAGATCACAAATTGCCACAAAATATTCACCTATTTCTTGAGAATGTGAGGAATAATTTAGATATGTTCATCTCACTGATCCCCATAAGAGCCCTATGAGATAGGTTTCGTTAGTATCCCCCCTTTGCATAGATGAAGACAAGTACTTTACCCAAGGTCACCCATACGAGAGAGGCAAAGCAGAGGATCTAATTCAGGTCTGCAGAACACTGTGCCGCTTCCACATTGCCCTGCCTCCAAAGGGCACTATGAGCTGCTGACCATCATTGTGTGGCTTGCCTAAGGTCACAGCTGAGCCAGTGTCTAGAGCACCAAGTGCCTGGGCCTTGTGACCTTAGAAGGCTTTGCAACGATTAACTTCCACTTTTGGACTGCTCTGCAAGTTCAATATCGTTTCTTTTTGCTGCCCACTCTTGCCACTCTGAGAAAAGAACAGTATCTCCTGTTCAAGGGAAGATGAAACAGAATTGATCATAAAGAAAATGTTATCCTACTCCAGTCCTATCCACAGTGTCCTACTGTTCTATATTTAGATAAACGCCCTGCACAGCTAAAGAGGCAATAAAGCAAGCTAAGAAGTACTAGGCGCATGCCAGGAAACCATAAAGAGCTGCGAGTTCTCGTTCTTTCCCAGAGAATGACTTTAAAAAGCAAGAGACAATGGGAACAGGCCGTCTCAGCAAGCAAATGGAGCTTTCAGGAGTGGGGCAATTCAGGATTGGGTGGAAATTGAAGGAGGATGGGGATAACGGGGCCCTCTTTCTCTCTCTCTCTCTCTCTGGTGGTCCTGGGGATTGAACTCTGGGCTTCCTGCATGCTAAGTAAGTGTTCTATCACTGAGCTACCACTCCCCAGGCCCTGTCTTCTCTCTTCATGGAAATGTGACTGTGTTATAATTTGGATCTGGAGTGTCCCTCAAAGGTTCAAGTGTTGAAGTCCTGATCCCCACTATTCAGAGGTAGTGGAAACTTTGGGAAATAGAAAGGAGTAGCACACTGGGTGCATGTCCTGAAAGGATTTATCTTGTCCTAAGCCTCTTATTTCTTTATCTACTTCTGAGTCACCATGAGGTAAGCAGGTTAGTTCCACCATGCAATCTCCACCATGGTGTTCTGTCTCAACACAGACCCCAGAAATGACAGAGCCAAGCAGCCATCAATTGAAATCTCTGAAATTATGAGCCAAATGAAATCTTCCCTCCTTTAAGTTGTGTATCTCAGGTATTTTGTCACAGTAACAGAAAACTGACTAACATAGCTTCTTAAGGGTGGAACCTATACAAATCTCAGTGTGGATGACTTGTGAAGTCAGGGAAGAACACAGATAAGGAAGGCATGGGCTGACCTGAGGCATCATCTCAACGCCCAATGTATCAAATCTGAACCACAGATCAGATTTGAACCTTGGTGCTTCAACAAGATGAAGATGAGAGTGAGAGACGACTGAAGTCCATTCATTCGTAGGTTTGAGGGATAGATGAGCAACCAAGTCCAAGTTCCCCAGTCCTCTCAAGAACCTGTATTCTGGGTTCTCTCAGAACATGGTAATTCCTGTGCTGTTCATAGTAATATGTGTCTTGATTGTGAATCATCTTCCTATACAGTTATTTGTACACATGTATTATCTCCTCTTAAATCATAAAGTCCTTGAGGGCAGAGATCAGTCCTTCTCTAGTAGCTGGAATAATTTCTAGTAGATTGAAATGTTTAAATGAACCTAAGCTATTCAAAGCCTTTTGCAGTCATACAGTCTGCAGATTGAGATTAAAAAAAAAAAAAAAAGTAGTTTACTTTTCCAATCCTTTGAAGCATCAGCTCTCTGAATTTTATCTAGTCTCTTTAATCTCCACACTCACTCAAACAGATCCTTGCCTGAGTGCACAGGTCTTACTATACCTTCAAATACAGTCCATAATAACCAACCTCTTCCCTGGAGATAGAGGCTTGTCCAGCACTTGGCCTTGCCTTGTAAATTATTATCAGCAACAGATTTTACCAAATGCTTTGTCCTCTTTCCACAGGTCTCCATCTTCCCAGCCTTTGATATCAGGATGTCTGCCATCCACCATCCAACTGCTAAGCCAGTGCAATATATTTAGTTTTTTATTACATTAACCCCACATCAAAATCCCAATTTATAAATTTACCAGGGTGATTAACACTACCTGCTATAATAAATGAACCTAATATGAAATGTTTATTTCTTCCTTATGAAGTAGTCCAAGGCAGGTGTTCCTGGGTGATGGGCAGCTGTCTTCCCAGGGGTGAATTAGGAACCCCAGGATCCATATCTCTTGTGGTTCCACTATCTCGAAGGACTTTTTTGTCTTCTACATCCAGCTAACAAAAGGGAAAAGATAGAATGGAGAAGACATGTTCTCTTCTAAAATCCTACCTCTCTGCCAGGCACAGTGGCTCATGCCTGTAATTGCAGGCACTGGGGAGGCTGAGGCAAGAGAATCGCCAGTTCAGAGCCAGACTCAGCAATTTAACGAGATCCTAACCAACTTAGTGAGACCCTGCCTTAAAATAAAAAAAAATATAAAGAACCAGGGATGTACCTCAGTGACAAAGTGCCTCTGGATTCACTCCCTGGTGTCTCACATAAATAAATAAATATAAAATCCTTACCCGAGAAGAAAACCACCACACTCATGTTCTATTGTCTCCATGTCACATGTTCATACATAAATGCAAGGAAAGGTTGACAGCTATTTCTGTCACTAAAGT